GATGCTTCTTCTGCTGCTGATGGTAATACTTACGAATCGAGATGAATTGTTATTACGGGTGGTCTTGGCATTACCATAAGCCTCCAGCACAGGGTTAGCCTTGATAATCTGGTCTTCAAGACTTCCCTCCTATATGGTTTGGAAATCGTTTTGGGAGGACATGGGGGAGTTGGGGTTTTTTTTGGTAAAGGGAGGGAGAAAAGAAAATGACAAATATTGTTTTAAATTTGTTCATTAATTGACATCTAATAAATTATTTTCAGAAACAAATGGATAGTTTTGATAATTTACTATCAAAGTACATATATGTAGTAAAGCTCAACACGTAAATTACAAGCACAAAATAGTTATCACAATGTAAACATCATATAGAGCATAAGTACCAGTGATGCAGTATATATTATAATAGATCATAACTAAATATATAGTATGTGATTACATATTATGGTCATAACAAGCAAATTCGTGGAATTTGTATCCTCTGCTTACAGGACATATTGTAGGTTAACATTATTGAGGTTAGGTTTAAACTTGTGAGTATCGTGCTGTTGAGACATAATGTATAGCTTGAAACTTGAAGAAAAAAAAACTCCTGTACCTCATTGATTCTCCGTAAATATGCACAAATCACATCGGTTAGCAAACTTAGCATGAGTTGGATGTGCATAAGGAATCTGGTTGTACATTTTAACAATATCTACAGCAACAAGTACTAATTGTAATGGGGGATCATTACAGATGTCCCCCAAACTGCCCCCATAGTCGCAAAGATGCATCAGAAAAGCATAGTACACCTACAATGTACATACTAAATTTGAGTGAAATTGAACAATTTCTAAATTGCAACCAATCAGAAGCCTGTGTGGTTGCTGTGGTAACAAAACTAATGCGGTTTTATTCGCAGTCCCCTAATATCCCTATATACCAATTTTCATCAAAATCTAACTATATCTAAATTTCCACCAATCAGAAGCCTCTGAGTGGTAGCTATGGCAAGAAAACCGATGCGGTTGAATTTGCAGTCCCCTTATATCCATATATGCCAATTTTAATCAAAATCGTTTGAAGGAATTCGGTTCACATTTGTTATAGTTATTGCACAGAAACAAAACCCAGCAGATAATTAAGTTTTTCGTCATTCAAGGGGCCATAACTCCGCTAAATGGGGTCATATAACTTGGCCGAGACCTTAAGGCATTTAACCCTGTGAACATTTTTGAAGAAAATCGTGTTAATATTTGTTGTAGTTATTGCACGGAACCGAAGCATGGCAGATAATGAGGTTTCATTATTTAAGGGGCTATAAGTCTGCCAAATGGGGTCCCTGAAAGTGTTTTCTCTTCGTTACAAGGAAGGTCTGTTTAGGAGGGTTTGGATGAGAGTACTATTTATTAACCATAGATAAAAAATATATAGGTTAGGTGGTAATAATAAGTGTAAAGAGGGACCAGCAACTTCACTGTCGTCATTATGATTTATATATAACATCAAGAAATATTCTATAATATTAAAAAAAATATTACCATTGATTTGCTTAAGAATGGCAGATAATACTTGCAAAGTTTTACTTTTCAATTTCAATATTTCAGGATCATCAAGGAATGCAGCAAACAAATAGGTAAAGGTGTTGGTTCTCTTGTTTGTTTGGAATTGCTCCGGTCATGCGCAATCAATTAAGATAACCTAAACTACCTTCTTATCAGCTTCCTCCTCGTCGGTCTTCTTTTTAGGGGCACATGCTACTTTAGCCAAGTACATGATTACTTTTTTGGTGTTTTCAGTCTTACCAGCACCAGACTCGCCACTATTGTACGAAATAGAACATCAAGCTTTATATAACCTTAAGTAAATAATAAAGACTACTTAAAGCATAGCAATACATTCCTGCTTGTTTCTTCGTATTCCTCACGTTACTTTATGAAAATAATTTACATTTTTCAATCAAGTTATATAGCAACTACTTTCTGTTAATGGTCTTGTGTAGAAACCAGCAGGAATGTACCGGCATTAGTGCCTTAAAACTTACTTTATGCAAGTTTTACATTGCAAATATACAATAAAAGACGTTCACGCAAGAAAAAAGAGGCAACCCTCAGTGCCTACTAAGCATCACTCTATATACAATAGTGTATAGTGATTTATGAGACAAGCTATGTCTGATGTGAACGTGTCTTGTTGTATCAAGCAGTATTTCTATATCTATCAAAAAGAATCTTTAAAAACATGTCATTTTAACTTTTAACCCCACCCCTCCAAAAAAGGTTTTCATTCTTATTTATAAACATTTCTCGAAAGTGTTTGGTGTTAATTTATAAATGTTGATTCCTTAACGCTTATTACATTAATAAAGCTAAAAAACTCACGTGATCAAACAGGACTGGTTTTCACGATCTGTAAATAACGAAGCAATATATATATATACCCCTGTTATCAAACTATAAAGGAGTGGTCTTTAAATAGATAATATGTTACATATGTATATTTAATTTTTAACTATCGTACATTTTTACTGAGCTATAATGGTGCATTTCTTGTCATCAGTTTAAAGGATTCCTTTCTTTTACGTAAAACACATTGTATGAGCAAAACATAACTACTATGTTGTACATGTCTGGTTGTACGATGCGTACCTGTTACCATGTTCTGGTAGGCATTGTCAGCCACAGAGAACAAATGGGGAGGGATCTCAGTCTTCCTCTTTCCTCTGTACTTAGAGATGACGCTGTCGGTGTAGATGGGCAGACGTCTGTAGGGGTTGACCGCGATACAGAAAAGTCCAGAGTATGTCTGTATAATGGAACGCAACATCTCAATGGATATCCACACAATTCACATCTCATCAACATTATCAAAGAAATATATTAGTGGCAATATTTTAGTCACCAGAGTGATTCATGTAAGATGATAAACTTGTTTTATGATTTTTGTAAATACATTAAATCTAACTTTAGTAAATGTTAATTACACATTCTTCCACAGAAATGACTACAAACTGTAAACAAATCAGCTTCATTTTTAACTACATAGAAACAATAGCAACGAGACTTGTTCACATTACGTAGCCAGATAATATAGCGTACATTCGGACGAGTTATTTTTATTTTACAAAGTAAACATGTTAAACCGTGTATCAAAGATAAGATAGTTTATTAGTACATGAACTATTAAGTAACACTAATGAGTGATAAGGTGTAATTGTGTACAGTAGGGCCAAGAGCGATGACTTCAGGCAGATTTCTCAAGTAATTCGAGCCACCCACAATAACCAGTACTAATCCCATTACATCAGATAAGTGGACAGGATTCAGTGAGTATGACTGATTGAGTATTAGTACATAAACATTATAATCAAACAGGACAGGGCTATTTGGGCTTTTTTTATTATTAATATTTATTCATTAATTGAAGTTCCAGTGATGGTATGGTCAAAGTACAAAGTGACTAGAGTGATTTTGAAATTATAGCAGAAAAATAAATAATTCTTTACTTTAGTTTTATAAAGATTAAAAGCATCGACGAGAATTCCAGAAAGTATCCCAAGATAAGTAAACGACTGGTTATCAGAAAGCAGGCCATGGCTGTTCGCAGGGGCTGACACGGCATGCTAGGTGACGGAAAACATTTCGACTGGAACCTATCGGTTGTCTATATACAAGATGGGTATAAGATAGAGATGGGAAGTATATGTACATACCACTAAGGCATCGCTGACGTCAGCGAGTCATGTTACAGTGCCTGTATTTACTTTTAGACTCCACGGGATACCAATATTTGGTTAGCAGTGTACGGGATGTGGGGTTCCCCACGGGGTAATGAGAACAGGTATAATACATGGGACACTACAGGAATTATGCGTGGGTTGCTTAATAAACTAATTGCATCACTGATTACCAGTCTTTATAAGATCTGATCATATTCGTTTATTGGTCTGACTTGTACCTTTCTGGGATGTGTGCGTTACTTGGATATTTGCTATATGGTTAGTAAGTGTGTGAAATAGTTGAGAGTACTCACGTAGATCATACCACTGGTGTATCTGGATCTCAAGTTGTGCAATACGGAGGCTTCGTTGAGGTAGGTCATGTTGGCCATATCCTCGAGTTTCTCGAACTTAGGTGGGTTCATTTGCTGAATGTCATCCTTCTTCACGGTCCTGGTCTGTTGACAAACAATTACAACTTTTAATAAATGTTCTAGTCTCATACAGAATCCATTTCATCACCTACTAAAATATATCACAACTGATGACATTTTAAGCGAATTAATAAAGCAAATGAAGGATACTCGCCATCAACACATGACGTGGGGGGTTTTCGAGAAAATGTATCTTCGGGAATTACCCATTTCACCTGTCATATTTATTTGTGAAGATATTTCTTAGACTTACTGATACTTGGAGGATAAAGTTAGTTTTTGTAACTATGGTGATGTTTAAATATTGGAAAAAAATGATTTTTGTATTCATAATAGTATTGTTAATATATATATAGTTCTATGTGAATAATTGCAGATTTATATGCAAAACATAGTGGTATAATATTTTTTCCTATACTAGTCCTAATGATTCATAGTGTTGCAGCTGTACCCTTTATACACTACTATAATGACAATATCTCCATATTAATATTTTGTTGTAAATCAGTGCACAGCATATTGCATGTTATGTATAATGGCTATTTATATATATTGATGCATAAAGTAATTTTTGTATATTGGTACAATGCTGTAAATTGATATATAATTGTATATTTTTATTGGTATTAATTGGTATATTTAAAGGTAATACATACAGAGCTGTCGGCAGTGATCTTCACTGTAATGTCGTCACCCTTTGTGGATTGGATTTCTGCGGCTGCGAATCCTGCCTTCTCATCGGGTACCCAGCAGTTTTTCTTGCCGTCAAATGGAGCCGTCTGCTCTTTCAACAATTTCTTGCGATCTACTGCAAGATACTGGAAATCGGGATCACTGAAGTCGACGTTCATCTTGGATGGTTATATCGCAGGAGCAAGCTCTCTGCCTTTTAAATAAAAAGTATTCGAAATCGGAAGACGAAGTCAATCTCTGGACTGCCCTGCACAAGGTCAACAACAGAACAGATCAACCCTTCAAACCCGTCCTGAAACATACAAAATTACACTGTTCAGTTTATCAGTATTTTTAGATGTTTGTAGTCATAGTACATATGTGACACTGATAATCATTTGGTCCGATTTGAGAAAACAACTATTTCCCTCGTCTTGGTGAAATATCTCCTCCTCTGTACTGTGACAAAGCTACTTTATAATATATGGAGAAATTCAACGTATATATATAGAATTGTCAAACCTTTATCCCTTTAAGTTATAAACGGAGCACAAACTATTAAATGAATTTGATTTAACCAGTGTTCATTAGCTGGCCTTTGAAGGATCATTTGACATGACTGTGTTATATTAATGAGCAGTGAAATTGCTTTAATTATCAAATTTTATCAAGTTACAAACTTCCCCTCCAAGAATGTATACATTTAAGCGATATTCAACACTGTGTTCTTACAATATCATACAACAGTGCCATATGTCTAGATCGAACAAGAAATCAGAAATGAAAGCAAGTGTACTTTCTCAACAAATGTAAGAGAACACTATATAAACAAAGAGTCGTACATGCAAACAAAAGTCTGAATAAGACATGCAGTGGGAGAAACACTATCCGGCTTGTATGACGGGGCCCCGCCCCCTCCGGCTATGGGACCGGCTGCTGTAACAAGCTCCATATAGCATACCTGTGATAATAAGAGCACACATGGTGTAGGGTGATGAAAAGGAATAAGGGATTCCAAAATGTTAAAATCCAAGTGAAGTAAGAGAAGATAAATTCACAAAGGGTAAAGTTCCCTTATATGGAATCACATCAGAGGAAATTCCGAGTAGACAGTGTTCCAGGCTGTACAGACAGCACACACAGAATTGTATAAAATGAAATCGTCCACTGGATAAGCTCCAATAGATTATAAGGTAGCTCACACATTTCAGAACACAGGTATAAGCATGTAAATATCTGGCGAAGACAGTTGACCAGGTATAAAGATTCTCTGGTATGACAAAAGTTCAAATGACAAATAATCTGGCCAAATAATTCCAATCTCGTACGTCGAAAAAAAAAAAAAAAAAAAAAAGGGTTTAAGAGAAAGGAAATCAAACACACGCTTGGAAAATCTATAGAAAACTACATGGCATAAAAACGACTTACTCTAATACTCAGTAAATACTATAGAATATTAGGTAGTAGGTATAATAGTAAATAGAGGGTTAGGCACTGCAAGTCCTACGCTAGGTCCACACATACTTACGGTTAAAAGCTGTCTGATGCTTCGATGAAGGCTACCTGTCGATTTATATAGTGTCTAGCTCCACAGATCGTATGGGCTGTATCAGATGTACAAAGCGTTCTGATTGAACGAAAAAGTTGCTGATGTTGTGTTTCAGCCAATCAGCATTATTGTTACATGAATGACAGATGAGAAGAAGAGGATGAGGATGCTCCATAAGGAATCCAGGGCTTGTCTAGGGTATCTCGTGGGCCGATATACGGCCCAATTACCAATGAGATTTAGGCTTCTTTTTCCCCCAATATCAGGATCCCCCCCCCCCCAAAGGCTGGTGATATTACACATTTGGACCTAAACAGCATGTCCCTTCTAGCTTCGAGCTAAAGGGAAATTCCCTCTAGCTCGAAGGCGAACTTAATCCTATGTACAATTGAACCCTTCCACACATGTTTTATGACCAAAATAAAATGTTCAGAACAAAACACACTGTTCTCGTTGTTATTGTTGGAACTCTTTTGGGATGGAAACGCAAAGCGTCTTCTTGATCTACATAAACAAAGTCACCGCAGCGTTTGAAAGTAGAGTATAACGTTTGAAGCTGTTAGTCATGTTCATGGCAACGATGTCTACTCACGGTTCATATCATATAGATCTCATATGAATGCCACAAACACAAATATATAGTAATATTACTGAATATAACACTCAAAATACATGTCCATGTCGTTGAAGCACTTCTCTGACTTACTTCTACAACATGGCTTCATGAGTTGATACAAAATAGTAGGGAGATTTTCAAACGGAACGAAATGAATTTGAGTTTTTTTTGTATTTCGCTTGTAGAACATTACATGTAATCCTTTTTTTATTAACCGGAAAATCATGGCAAATGTTGTCTGCTTCACTTCGAACGAGGAAAAACTCATTATTTATGTTTTAGACACGAAATTCTTCTTATCTGATTATGGATTTACGGAAAGGAATATTTATTGGACCCTGTTGAACTTTTAAATGTATAATGATCGGTGCCGCGGTAGTCATTGTACTACTGTGTGCTATCAAGCGTGAGCTTCAGACCACTCGCTCTCCCAAGAATTTCGGTTCGATCCCAAGCGGTGGTGGAAAAAAGAGAGTGATGTCTGATAGGGTTAGTTGTTATCCCTCCGATGGCACGGTGGTTTTTCCCCGTGGGTTTTCCTCCACCACGAAAAACACCATTTGTCCCCTTAGCGGCGTCGTAATAAAAGCTCTACAGAGCTTATGTTTTTTGTTGACAATTGTACACGACGTTAAATAAAGATTATATTTATTATAAACACACTTATACATTTTTAAAATCCTAACTTTGAAAATGTGATCGTCAGCATCGGGAAAATCAGGTGTGGGCAGTTAGAGGTTACACGGGGCCTGTCAAAACATTGTTGGAGTAGCCCATCGGGGCCCCAAATCTCCTGTCTGATGAGGCCCTTAGACTCTCTGGTCAATAAGTTCAGGAACAAAAAACTATAATCCGGCCTGCCTTTTTAGTAAAATATAAGAAAATAAAGAAAATTTGGTCAATATGTTGTCTTTTTATTGAATGAATATTTTCTCGATATGTCGATGATTTTTCCAAATTTCACTATTATTTACCTAGAAAAATCCCTGGAATCCGAGGTGAGATAGAGAGGCATCTGGTATAACAAGTGGTACATACGGTTTACACAACGTCACATACTGTTCTAATTACTAGCAGCACGGAACAGATTATAGTAACGTGACCCTGTAATTAGATGTTATCTTAGTCCGTGCCAGTAGGCTTCCCAGTGTGCGAAACAAGCGGGTGTTCGCATACTGCACAATCTTGCTGACGGTGTTGCATTTCATCTACATGATATTGATACCTCGATTTATTGACTATTTGGGATCGGGTTATATTTTTCGGTCACCCTTTAAGGCGTCTTCAACCGACAACAAACGTCTTCAAGTGACAATTAACAAGCGTCGCCAGACAAAATCTTTAAAAATGCCTAATAAAGTAAGCGACAAAGTATGACTATAATCACGGACTTAGATAACATCGAATCTAATTCCGTGCTATAATACACCTCTGTACCAAATTTCAATGTGATATTTGATAAAATGACCGAGTTATGATGAATTGAATTTTTACGATCGCGGCGTGGCACATGTGTGTATTAGCATGTAAAGTGAAGAAAGCGTCGTCAGATAATATCGTTAAAATTACTCGGTAAAGCAGAGACATATATAGACTTTTACTGATATCAGGGATGTGTAGTCCACTACACATCCCTGCTGATATATATTCCAAATTTCAGCTCGATATTTGAAAAAAAATGATCGAGTTTCGATTCATTTATTATTACGATCGGTGGCGTGGCATACGTGTGTGAATATAACACTGGTACAGATCGTAAAGCGTCTTTAGACAATATCTCTAATATTAACCTATAATGTAAGCGACATCAGAAAATATGTTATTCGTATAACTATTATCAGAGACGTATAATTATGTATTATACGTCTCTGCTATTATACACCTTTATACTAAATTTCAGGTAAATTTGTTGAAAAATGATCGAGTTATCGTGAATTTAATTTTACGATTTTACGAAGCTATACGCCGTGTCACTTGGTGGACACTTTTTATCTTGTGAAATAACTGGCACACAGGTGTAAATATCGGTATTTCATATAATCAAATGCATTTTGTCTGTATACCTAAGAATAACTGTTTCTCTGTTCAAACTCGTAAAAAAGTCAAATGTCAATACCTTTCGCATCTTGAATCCCGCCCTGCGGGCACACAAGTGTTGTGAAAGCGTAAAAAATGTTCTTCATTTAGCGTAATTGTCATCAGGTAACTAATTTACAACTTTTGTTGTTTAACAGGTCCATGCGATTCGCGCGAACACGTTTTCGCGTCCCTGGTTTTTAGGTCTCCTGAGCTTATTAGCTCTAGTGACCTATTGCTATCCGTCGTCGTGCGTCGTCTGTTAACATTTTACATTTTCAACTTAAGCTGAAATTCTGGCAAAGGGATTTCATTAATATTTCATGGGAAGGTTACTGACATCTCCCTGACCAAGTGTTGTTATTTTTCGGGTCGATCAGAAATCCAATATGGCCGCCATTTTGTAAAACTATTTCAAACTTTTAAGTCAAGGTCTGCTGGGCCGATTGAACTGAAACTTTATAGGAATGATCATTTTATCAAATATCAAATTGAAATTTGGTACAGCGGTGTATTAAAGTCATATTAACAACATACCTTCTGATGTCGCTTACTTTTTCGGTATTTTTAAAGATTTTGTCTGACGACGCTTGTTGTCACTTGAAGACGCTTGTTGTCGGTTGAAGACGCTTTTAAGGGTGACCGTATTTTTGAAATACCATGAATTTATGTCTTTCTCAAAACCAACTTTTTAGTCGAAATAAAACAATTTCTTTCAACACTACAAGCACTACAATCGTATTTAACAGTAGGATGAACTTATGTCAGTCATAAAGATCAGACAACCAACCGAAGCGCATGTGTATCCTATAATACCAGAAAACCTTGAAATTGTTTCATCTTAATTGCACTCGTTATAGTTTGAACTTCAACATGTCAGCCTCTTTTAACATTATCTAACACATAGACAGTCATGTAGGTTCAATGGACGCCTGGCAGTTTGTTTAAGATACACATCTTACAGTTTTCAGATTATATTTTCACTCAGACTCACGTTAGTGTGTAACAAGAGGCCACATGTGTACAACAAACATGACCTCGACGGAATAATACAATCATAGCAATGTGTGAGAAGATTATTTAGATTATTGAAGTATTAATAAACTGTTCTCGTGTTTTAGTAAGAATTGAGAATCCTTTTCTTAAATGTGAGATAAACTTTCATCTTTGTGATTTTTGGAGGGGGGGGGGGGGATAAGAAACCCTCAGACCTTTCAGATGTGCAATTACTCGGTATAGGTAAGGAAAGTTATATACGCTTGTGTTAGGATAATTGTATGCAAATGTTTTGGGTTGATGCCGGTGTCCCTGGCAACCGTAACATTGCCTGGTGCCTGTCTATATTAGGTGTGATAGGGGGAGGGTAACGAACAGCATCTGTAGCACGCGCGTATCCCCCGTCCTCTCTCTCTCTATGTTTATATCTATATCTGAGATAAAAGAAATCACTTGTATTAGAGTTAGTTTGGAAACATATTCAGATTTCAGCCCTGAAAATGGACATGGCTGACAAGAGACCAACTGTATATTTTGGAGCACAGGTACGTTAGTATGTCAGGAAGAAAAATCTGGTACTTGTTGATACAGTTAGGGAAAAGAAATACAGGTAGAGATTATCAGGTTAAGGTAGTTTAAGATAAGACAGGCAAGTACAGGTACTCATATTAAAGGGAAAATAACAAAATAAAACAGGAGAATATACATAAAGGAGAGTACAGTAGATATACAATTATTGGACCAGAAACATATCTTAGCTAGATAGGGCGCTATATCAAATATTGTATATTATTATTATTATTATAAAGACATTTATGAATTCGTCCATTTGAATAATGTCACAGTCTCTTACTGGCTGTGGTTGATCATTCAAATATTCAAGGTGGTTTTTTTTTATGTACAATTAAAAAAAGATATAGATGTTAGATTAATATTTGTTACTAGGGTTATATTTTATTTCATGAAATCACTCAGTACTGATAAAAGATGAATTTGCTTTACCAGAACTAGAACTAAAGGTCTAACTTACTCTAAGTCAAGTACTGAAATAAATCTGGTCCGCTGGTTGCATGGTTGAATTACAATTTTATGACCAATTTTCAGCTATAATACCTGATCAATGACATGATTGTCTGTTGATAAAATTTTGCACCATGTTGTTTTGTTATGACCATTGAAAACAAGGCCTTTTTGTATCTCCGCATCACAATCACTTCTGGATAAATTTTCATTCAGTTTCCATCAGGTTTTCTCCTTAAACCGAGTGGGTTTGTTATATAAATGCTTTTAGTTCTTGGATGATTATCTGGAAACAAAACTTTCGGTATATTTCTTACACAAGTAAAGGAAAAACATCTGAGTTGATTTTATTCTAAAGTGTGCTTTATCATGAAATATAAAAAAAAAAATCGTGGCAACATTTTGGATTAAGTATGTAGTGATATCAGTCTTTAAATTACTAGCGGTCCTATATATCATATTAAAGTTGACAGCATTATCTTATTGTTTTAGTGAGACCTGTAAAGAAATCCAGAACATCAGTGAAAGACCAACTCAACCACCTGGTTTCGAATCGACAGGAAAAAATGTCAAAATTAAACCTTCAACATCAGCAGAAAATGAGGGCTACATAGGAAAGCATGCAACAGCTTAGAGTGAGTATGATCGGCAAACTGCAGTGGAGATAAAGCTGGGGAATATTTATGTCACCTGAGCCAATGGCTCAAGTGACCTATTGCAATCGTTTTTTGTCTGATGTGTATAAACCTTAATCGAACCAGTGAATGGATTTCTTTAAACCTTGGTAAGAGATATCCGTGGAAGAAAGAGGGTAATGCAATTGTAAAATTGGTGTGCCTGCCCCAACACCAGGGACTGGTACAGGGCCCCAACAAAAAATACCAATATTTAATCAAATCTTCTTTAGAATCGAATATCCTAGAATCAAACTCTACTAGGGGTAAAGTTTACTGAAGTGTATATAGGGAAATTACACTTTTGAGTATGAGTATAGCTACAGTGAGCTATGTAAGGCTAGATGAGATGAGCTAATTACACATCCATGTCAACACTTGTGTTATAAATAACAAGCATACTGAGTATTGGTAAAGCAATACATGTCGCCTACCGGCCCCCGCTAGCTATTACATAGTCCGAATTATTCTGACTTTTTATCGACTTTTTTTATATCGGTCTGTCCTCGGTTAATCGACGACAGACCGATATAAAAAAAGTCGATAAAACGTCAGAATAATTCGGACTAGGTATTACACTGTAATGATTTATAAAAATGGTGCCCTTTGGTGTTAATTTGGGATAATGAAAAGTATACAATTAGCTTACATTATCATCAATCATATTGTAAAAAAACACCAGAATAAATGAATTGCCATGTATACTGTATATTACATACACATTTGACACTTTAAGTTCCGTAATGAACTGATTATATCGATTATGGAATTTGTTATCGATAATCGGAATCGAACAGGACAAATCGATTGATGTTCGATTATTATATATCGATCATCATTTCATCACTGGCTTCAACTTGTCCAGGATTTTGTATTAATAGTAACGGTGGCCTTGACTTCACCTCTACAACCCTGAAACTCAAACTTGTCCGAGATATTATGGTCCTTTGTAATTGTGTGAAGTTTGATCCAAATTGGATTAGACAAATATTACTTTATCGCTATGTGTGTTTTCATTAGGATACAATAAATGTGTTCTCTTTGGCTTTGAAAGGGCGTATTTTGTTCCGCCCCACGGTACTCATTGTTTTATGATTTTGTTGGATTTTTTGTTTTGTCTTTTTTGGGTGTTTTTTTTCTCTCTTTTTCCTTTACAATATTTGGAATGGTAGATTGTCCATGTCATCTTACCTAGATACTCTTTTTACACAGTTTATGCATATGCAACTGGTATTTGTGCTAACTGATTGTAGAAAAAAAGGTGTGTTCGTTAGCTTCAGGTCTTAGATCTGCCCCTCATGAACATGTGCACATGCTTTCTCAGTTCCTTTACCTTTTATATCTGCTCTAATCTTCAGATCTACTCTTCTTCCCCTCTTATACACTCTCCTTCTTTCTCCTTTCTCTGTATTTTTGTAAACAAGCATGGAAGGGCAATATAGCTAGAAAGATTTCTAGAAATAGGTGAAGGGGTTAAGTTTTTATCAGCCAATTGTCAGGGTCTAGGGGACACATTTAAACGCAAATTTAAGAAGTAAACATTATAACATTTACTGTCTCCAAGACACCTATTTCACAGAGTAAAATGAAGAAATTAATGGGGCTACTCTTGCTTTTTTTAACTCTTTTAGGTCAAATGCTAGGGGAGTTGCCATTTTGTTAAATAACCATTTTGAAGTCAAGGTGTTGAATGAGAGAAAAGATAGGTCTGGGAATTTTTTAGCATTAAATATGGAAATTGAAGGGACAATTATAACAGTTATAAATATTTATGGTCCAAATATCGACGACCCTTCTTTTTTTTCCAAACTCATAAAAGATACATTAGTTGATTTTAAGTCTGAAAAGTGTATAATATGTGGGGATCCTTAAGCCTGAGTTGGATTATGATAAAACATACAAAAAGATAAACAATCTTAAGTCCAGGGAAAAAATACTAGAGACTGGAAAATTTCGATTTGATTGATGTCTTTAAAGAGCAACATTCTGAATCCAGAAGGAAAACATGGAGGCGGAGCAACCCTGTTGAACAGGTTCGCTTAGATTTCTTTTCAGTATCTGGAAGACTCTTACCTAGTACTTCTGAACAACCATAGAGCCTGGCTATAGATCTGATCATTCTTTTCCGAAAATGACCTTAAAATTAACTGATTTCAAAAAAGGTAAGGGGCTATGGAAATTCAACAATTCCTTATTACATGACCAGGATTATTTTAATCTATCTTATTAATAATACAATTACAAACATTAAACTGCATACTGCCTCCCTGTATACCAACCTGATTATGTAAAAAAATCTCTCGAAAAGGTGATTTAAAATTTGTTATCAATGACCAATTATTTTTAGAAACTCTATTGATGGAATTAAGGGGTAAAACCATTTTGTATACTTCTTATAAAATACCCAACCAGAACCTAAAGGAAGATTGTGTAAAGAAATCAATAAGATCTCTTGAAGATCAAAGTAATGTAAACAAAGACCAACTTAATAAACAGAAATTGGAATTGGAAGATATAAGACTACATAAGATTAAGGGAAGTATAATTCGCTCAAAGGCAAAGTGGATTGAAGAAGGAGAAAAACCTTCAAACTATTTTTTCAATTTAGAGAATGGAAATTTTACTTCTTAAATTATTCCAAAATTACAGCTTGATAATGGAGAAATAGTAACAGAACAAGATGATATTTTAAGGGAAGTGAAGTCGTTTTATGAGCAGTTTTATTATGTAGACAATGAAGTGGTTGATACAAATTTAGAAGAATTGTTGAAGAATTGTCATGTTCCAAAATTAAGTGATGTTGATTCAGTTAGTCTTGAAGGAGTTATTACTCTGAAAGAGGCCTCCGACACTCTAAAAGGTATTAAGAATAATAAAAGTCCGGGGTCTGATGGGTCCACGATAGAAGTTTTTAAGTGTTTTTGGAAAGATTTGTTATCAATGACCAATTATTTTTAGAAACTCTATTGATGGAATTAAGGGGTAAAACCATTTAGTATTCTTCTTATAAAAAAAACCATGGGGGAATGGGGAGCCTTTTGCCGAGATTAAACGCGGTTGTCGTCAAGGGGACCCAATCGCACCATATATATTTATACTCTGTGCAGAAATTTTAGCTATTAGAATTAGAAATAACAAGTATAAAAGGCATAAATGTTGATAATTTTTTCTAATCCTTCTTTCGCAATATGCTGATGATACTTCCCTGATCTTAGATTGGATAGAATGCTCTCTCAGGGAATCAATTAAGGAACTAAATGTATATAAACAACTTTCAGATCTTAAAATAAACTTGATAACACACAGATTGTATGGATAGGGAGTAAAAAATTTAAACTGGGGGGGGGGGACATTTCAATCTT